GTGCTTGCTACTGTGCCTGGCATATTTTTATTGTAGAAACGAGAGCTCACCAAGTTGCCCAGGCTGGTCTCAAACCCCTGAGCTCAGGCAGTCCTTTCTCCTCAGCCTCCCAAAGTCCTGGGATTGCAGACTTGAGCCACTGTACCCGGCCCACATACCTTGTTTTTGACTGTTGATACTGCTTCCAGTGCTCTTAACTCCTCAAGCAACTGTTCTCACTGAAAGTCTGATGGTCTTCAGCAAATGTACATCCTCTGGACATATCTGTGTGGATGCTGCAGTTAATTAACACAACATGGCAATCCAGCCTTCCTTGCTTCACTGACCAATGAGACACCTGATAACTTACTTGGTCGTAGCCTCATTTTTATTTCTATTTCTGCTGCAATGAGCTGCCATCTTAAATTTCCTGACTTTTCTGATCGTTGCTTCTCTGCAAGTCAGGAACATTGTGTTGAGTGCCGAGTCTGGTGATACCAACCTCTGTTCTTTCGACATAGCTCTTGTGTCATTGCATACTAAAGAATGCTTTGCCATCTGATCTGGCAACAAAACGTGACATTCAGAGGCAGTTTTTCTTGTTTTGACATGATGGGTGTGCACTGATAACGTGTGGCATTTGAAACGCTGTTGAGTTGAAGCTGTGTCGCCGATTTGCAGAGCGCAGAAAGCATGCAGCGTTTCCAGATTGCCACGAGAGCCACCACTGTCAATATGTGAGGAAATTATGGCTGCATCCCTGCAAGACTTCATCTGTGCACGCTGAAATTGGATATGCATATAATTTGTATAGATCATCAAATATATGATTTTGATTTTCTTTTCAAATATTTAGAAACATAGAAACCATTCTTAGGTCACAGGAAACTGGGTCTGGCCCCAGGGCTGTGGCTTGCCGGCACGCAATCTGGACACACATTACTGTCACAGACATAGAGCGTTAGTGGCAGGAGGAAAAGCAGCAGAAAACAGAGCAGGAAAGGGCTCCAGTTTCACCTTACAAGGTGTCGGCTGTTGTTTGCCTGCTCGGAATTCAGCCTCAAGCTGCCAGAAGCCTAGTTGGGAGAGACGGACGAAAAGTTTGCTCCACATGCTCACCATACCCAGTGGAGTCTTCCACATACACAGCACGCTTTCTTAGAGCTGCTGCTTTAATACATCACACATCTAGTACTTATAGTCTGTGACATCCGACACAGAAATGTCTTTCAGCCATTTTCTTTTGTATACTGTGTATTTCAAGCTTCCTGATTTTTTGCCCTCCTCTTTTTTGACCTTGCCTTCCTATTATCACATGTTGAATTGAGAATGGAGGTGGTTCCACAGCCCCAACCTGTCATTACATGAGCACTCCGTGTTTTATTTATTTTTTATTTTATTTTTGAGTCGGAGTCTCACTCTGTCACCCAAGCTGGAGGGCAGTGGCACGCTCCCGGCCACTGCAGCTTGACCTGCTGGGCTCAGGCGATCCTTCTGCTTCAGCCTTCCAAGTAGCTGGAACTACAGGCACACACCACCATACCCGGCTAATTTTTTGATTTATTGTAGAGATGAGGTCTTGCCAAGTTGCCCAGGCTGTTCTCGAACCCTCAGGATTATAGGCATGAGCCACCACGCCCAGCCCACTCTGTATTTTAGCAAACATCTTTCTACATCAATTCTTTTTATTTATTTTATTTTATTTTTATTTATTTTATTTTTTTAGAGACAGTGTCTTGCTCTGTCACCCAGACTGGAGTGCAGGGGTGTGATCATAGCCCACTGCAGCTTCAAACTGATGGGCTCAAGCAGTCCTCCTGCCTCAGCTTCCCAAGTACGTAGGACTACAGGTACATGTCCCCGCACCTGGCTAAGACAGTCTTGCTATGTTGCCTATGCTGGTCTCGAACTCCTAGCCTCAAGCGATCTTCCCACCTCAGCCTCCCAAAACACTGGGATTACAGGCATGAGCTGCTGCACCTGGCCCAGTTATTATTTTCTGCTCTTTTTTCTGTATCTCTTCAAACTCAGAATTCTGACTCTCGCAGCTCTGTCCTGCAGGTTGCCTATAAGAATCTTGAGACCATAACTCTCAGTGAAGCTTTCTCTCAGCCTTTTCATACCGATGTTCCTTTTTCCCTTTGCCATGTTGAGACACCCCTAAGCTGACTTCAGAAGTGATGCTGCCTGTTCTGGGTGCTTTCTCATCTGTGTTCTCAGGAGTAGAGGGAGAACCACTCCATCTTCGGCCGTGGTCTCTGCTGCTGTCTAACTCAAGGCCTCTGGGCTGGTTGAGAAATGTGGGATGGGGAAAGGGGAGCACCAATGCTGATCACCACAAGTCTCACTGGTCCAGGAAACACACACGTATCCCTGTCAGAACCAAGTTCTACTTGTTCCACGGGGGATGTTGGCGGTGCAAACATTCGCAGTGTTCCTGCATGCCAGACGTCAGCCCCGTCTGCCCTAATCTGAATCAGGTTTCCAAGGCGCAGAGAGAAATGGCTGGGACTCGTTGCTCCTGTTCAGGTGCTTGCCAGCACTACAGCTTCTGGGTAAATAACTACCTCGCTGACGACGCAACGTCCAAATTAATACTTCATGTCCAGCAAGTGCTTTGCTCTGAACCTGTATGAAATGGTCTTTAGGGACCTGGCCTGAACAATATGACAGCCTTGAAGACTGCTTTTGATTTATGTGACTTTTCCCAAGAAGTTGAGTGAGACAGTTGGGAAGAGAATACCTTGAGGATGTATAGCCAACATTATGTTACCATTATTATGCTATTACTATTTCAGGCTTCCTAGGTTTTTATGAATATGTGATTATTAATATCGGAATATAAATTATTAATAACTATAGTTTCACCCTAAAGTAGATGACTAAAATGCAAGCAAATTATAAGTTTTTAGATTTTTCCTACTGGCTGGACACAGTGGCTCATGCCTGTAATCCTAGCACTTTGGGAGGCCAAGGTGGGTGGATTGCTTGCCCTGAAGTTGGAGACCAGACTGGGCAACATAGCAAGACTTCGTCTCTACAAAAGTAAAAATTTAAAAAATGTGCCAAGTGTGGTGGTACATGCCTGTATTCCCAGCTACTCAGAAGACTGAGGAGGAAGGATTCCCTGAGCCCAGGAAATGGGAATGCAGTGAGCCATGATCATGCCACCACACTCCAGGCTGGATGACAGAGTGAAATCCTGACACACACACACACACACACACACACACACACAATTTTCTGCTGTATTAAGGTATAATTTACAAATAAAAAAATTCACTCATTTTAAAGTCTATAGTTTGATGAATGTTGGTGATTGTATGTAGTTGTGTAATCATTACCCAAATCAAAAGATAGGACAGTTATATTCCTCTTACAAAAAACTCCCCTCATATCTCTGTAGTGAATTTCCTTCCTGACTCTACTTTTGCCGTTTCTGGATTCCATAAGTCCAAATTCAGTTTCACAATCAAAATTTAGAGTAGTAATATTCCCCTAAAAGCTTCCCTCAGGCCTCTTTGCAGTTAATCCCCTCCCCTGAGTCTAGTTTTGTCTTTCGTGGAATTTCATAAGTCTAATAAATTCAAATTTTTATTGCTACAGTGCTATTCAGGTGGTCTTCTTGAGTCAGTTTTGGTCATCTATGTCTTTCAAGGACACATTGACTATTTCATCATGTTGTCAAATTTATTGATTTAAAGTTGTTCATAGTAGTTCCTCATTATCTGCTTAAGGTCTGTAGGACATGTAGTGATGTCCTCTCTTTTACTGTAGTATACATTGATATTAAAGAGAAAATCCACAGACAAAACAAAATTTTGCATTCTCTTTTTTTTGTAAATTTCAAATGCATTGTCCATTCATTTTCTCTCTTCAAAACTTCTGGAGGGTGCACCCAAGCCAGTGTGGCATAACCGAAGAACATGATCATTGAATTACCCAGATTTCCATTTAAATGCAACCACTAACTAGCCTTGTGACTGAGTCTTAATTTCATCCTCTGTCAAGTGTGGGTAACAGTGCGTCTTGCCCACTTACCTGGGAGGCTTTGCAGAGGATGGTGCTCAATGAACAGGAGTTGTAGTCATGGCAATGGAGGATATGATGGCTTGCTGCATATCCTGCTGTTTAGACTAGAATGAGTTGCTGGTTTTAGGGTGATGGAAATTTTGAGTGCTTCTTGAAGTCTCCAGTTTTCTCTAACTCACTGTACAAGAGGAACTCCCCAAAAATGGAATTATTTGGGGGAGGGCGGACCCTTGTAGTACAGGCTTCCTCCACTAGCTAAGTATTCTAGAAACCCATCAGCATCAGTGTACCAGCTAGCATTGTTGAAATAGACTGCATTTGACTTAAGTGAAATTTTTTTTTTGGAAATTCTTTCCATGCATTTGCCCTTTTCATTATGCGTGATTTACAAGCACACCTGCCCGCCCTGTGCTGAGCATTCAGCAGTTTTTGACCCAAAGTGGCATGACCTCTGTGCCCCACCCTCCCTGGTCACCCTATCTCACCCCGAGCAACTTTTTTTGTTTCCCAGATGAAAAGAGTCCTCAAAGGGAAACGTTTTGCCAGTGCAGAAGAAGTGAATCAAAAAAATGTCAGAAGCACTAAAAGCCATCAAAATTGACAAGTTCAAAAACTGAGCAGTGGAAAAAGAACCCCAGTAGGTGTATCAAACAGTACTTCGGAGAGTACTTTGAAGGTGACTGAGGTTTAAACATGTCAAGATTTTTTAATAAATGCAATCCAGGCTTTTTTGGGTCCCCCAAAAAAGTATTGTTTCACATTCTGTAGAAGTCGAGCCTTGAGTTTGTACAGTGTAGTGAACATTATTGAAATATGCTTGACTCTTTATTTAGTAACTATCTACATAGTTGTAGTAAATCAATACGCGCGTTACTAAGGATGACGTTTGTACAAGGAAGCAAGATTTATGGCATTTAGGGAAGAGTCACAGAGGTGATAGTCTTTAAAAACAATTTTAAAAAATACATTTCTGTTTCTTGTCTCTGAAGGACCTTAATTTACCCATTCCTGATTCGAGGAGGAAAACCCATGCCTCTGTATTCCTCTGTGCTGGCATTCATGTTCTGCACTTACAACGGCTATTTGCAAAGCAGGTACTTGAGCCAGTATGCAGTGTACACTGATGCCTGGGTCACAGATCCCCGCTTCCTAGTAGGTGAGTGTCCACAGCTATGAACTGCACCTGGTTCACATCTTCGCTTTTGGTTTCCCATCCCAGTAATTTCTGGTTACACAGTCTAAACTTCTGGAGAGAACAAAGAAGCTGTGATGGCCCATGAGCTTCCCGGGAGAGAGAGAGCAGCAGGAGGTCCACAGCCAGCCGGAGGGAGTCAAAGTGTCCCAGCACAGCTTGGGGCTGGAGGTGACGCAGGCACTGGGCGCCTTCGCCCACACAGGCACTGGTGCGCAGATGCCTGTTCGGGCCAAGAGCCTAAAAATAGCATCGTGCTCCAGCAGAATGAGCAGGGATGAACATGGAGGCAGTTTCGCCACTCATTAGCCAGTAATCTAAGACAGGCCCCAAACCCCCTGCGGTTTCTTCTGTGACATGAGAGAAAGCTGGACCAGCTTATCTTCCCGCAACGCAGTTTGACTTTTATGATCCTTTGAGCTTGAATAAACTTTTAGGTTTGTGAGGTTGTCGAATATTTTTAAATTTGTGTCCATTAATGTGAATTAATGTACATTTTCAAAGTCTAGTTGTAGCCTGACAAGTTCTGAGCAAAAACAACGATAAGACATTAGCAATCAAAAATACTTGCAAAAGCATTAAAAATGCAAAAGTATGGGAATCTTACATCTAAGGAATGTTCATCTGTGTGTCTATTTAGTCTGTCCTAGCATTTAGAAATTACAGCATATCCAGATGAACCTTCCCCTATAGTAGCATGCCAAGAATCCAAAATCGGTCCATCACATTTTCAAACTACCCTGCAGTGCTTCGCCTTAAGCTATGTGACGTGACCTTACACTTCATTTTGCTTTTTATCCATGTGTACCATTTGCATGAATTTACAATAGTAGAAACAACTAACACTTGCTTAGTCCTTTGCTGCTGACAGAGTACCTTCACGTTTCTCAGTCATGTTTTTTTCTGTGAATTAGTCACATTTTTTTCTGTGAATTAGGATCGTATTCCCAGGGCCGCACCCTCATCATACCTGAGAATTGTTAAAATGAGAAACCTGTTCATCTTCTATAAAAGGAGAGTTGGCTGAGAAAATGTTGCCAGATCCTTTTCTTGCCCCATAAATCTATGCCTCTATGAAATGCTTGACTAAATTATTCTTATTGTATGAAACCCCCAGGTGTCTTCCTGATTTTTGACTACTTTATTTTCTTCTGCCCTACTTATCAGAAGGGAAAATGTGCTTTCGCATTCCCGTGAGCAGCACAGGCTCTATGCCTCCTTGTGTTCTCTGAGGCAGCAATGATGCCCTTTTCAGTTGAGATGTGAGAGGTTGGAAGAGTTAAAGAGCTGCCCAGGGTCTAGATGCAGCAAACACAGGGCAGCAAGCTCAACCCCTCACCACACTGACTGCCCAAAAAACGAGGAACAAAGAATAAGGGCAAGGAAGATTCTTTTTTTTATTTTTAGCTAAAAAAAAATAGGCTTTAAATGTTTACTTGAGATTCTCATGGGAATCATTTTTGTGGTGAACAACAACAACAAAAATCCTTTTGGTCTGAGATTTATATTATTTAAAGTAGCCGTGTAGAAGGATCACATCACCAAGAGATGCCTGACAAGCTAGTCTAAACCGTAAGACTCTGGCTGGGCGCAGTAATCCCAGCACCTTGGGAGGCCGAGGTGAGAGGATTGCCTGAGCGCAGGAGTTGGAGACCAGCTTGGACAACGAAGTGAGACCCTGTCTCTACAAAAAAAAAAAAATTAGAAAAGTTAGCTGGGCATGATGGTATACGCCTGTAGTCCTAGCTACTCAGGAGGCTGAGGAGGAAGGATTACCTGAGCCCAGGATTACCTGAGGCTGCAGTGAACTGTGATCATGCCACTGTACTCCAGCCTGCATGACAGAGTAAGACTTCAACTCAAAATAATTAATAAATAAAATATAAAACACCAATAAATTGTATACAAACCTCTTGGCTTCTCTGCAATCAATCAGAAGAATTTGGAAATGAAAAAATATGCCAACTGGAAAACAGACTACGTTACCTTTGGTGTGTTATATTTATTTGATAGTGTTTATTGTTTTTATAGTGAGACAAACATGAAATTACATGAATAATTATGTTCACTATAGTTACTGTGAAGTACAAGGCAAATAAGAATACATTTCTAACAAGACTTTCATAACAGCAAAGTAATTAATCTTTTAACTACTAAAAGACTTTATACAAAGATTTTAAGATTCCTACGAAAGGAATTAAATATTTAGATGAACACAAATACTAGTTTCCTTTTGATCTAAAGAAATAAAGTAGCTTCTCTCATAGAGGAACAATCAAGTGGGCATGTTATTTAGGCAACATAATTTTTTCTAGAACCTCCTAATGGAAACAAGTCACCCAGGGGTGATATACTGAAATCCAGAAAAGGTAGTACATCAACTATAAATGTTATAGTAGTACATCAACTATAAATCCAATAAGTGACTAACAAAACCTGTTACAAAATTTGACAGGAACTGCTCAGGGAAAAAAAAAAAGCTGCTTACAGTGGTGAAATCAGAAGGAAGAATCTTAAACCCCTTGCTGTAGACCAGACGGCTTTCCATGGCCTTGTTCTAACTGTGAAACGTTATTCAGTGTCACCAAACTGATGCATAATTAATAATAATGATACCCAAACGTACATTTCCTTGATATTGAATTGAATGCTGCTATTAAGTACCATCTACCTTTCACATTTTTTTCCTAATATCTCAGAACAATCAAGTTAACCTCTTTTTATCAGTATTCCTTTTCTAAAATACTGTTTTGGGATTTTGACTTTTCTCATTGAAATTAATCGATGTGTTACTGAGAAATCTCCCTTAAGTGATGAAGAGTTGTAAGAATGAGGGAGGAAGCCTGTGGGTGGGGGGGCGCTGTGAGTTTCTGGGGTGAACCACAAAGCCGGCCATTAGAGATTCTCATCAGGTGCCGAGGAGGAGGAAGTGGCTGGCGAATCCTGATTGATGAGCTAGCTGGAAATCAGTGGTGGGGGAAGCGTGGATGTGCACTGTTTGCTCAAACAAGCTTGGAAAGAAAAGAGCAGAGGACCAGAGACGGGCTCCTAGAACTGCCACCCTTTCAGCGGCCTGTGAACACTGGTGACGCGAGCACCACTCCTCTCCTGAGCTATACCAGGGAGAGGGCACCATTGCCTTGTGCAGATTTTGTGATAAATCAGAGGAGTGAGTGTGTCTGGTGAGGCCGACTCCCTAATGCCAGCTCCTTGGAAGGAGCCTTGTGCGAGAGTCATAAGTCATGTTTCTATCCACTCCTGTCTCCCAGAAGCATAGACTGTGGCTATCAGGTCAAAGTGTTTCGAATAGATTATTGTATTAGTATTAGAAAAGCAAAGCCCCGTTTGGCATGCCTGACAACAGCGCTTAGTGGGTTTTGCTACCCGTGATGGCTAATGTGTTGTATAACAGCATTACATCATGCCATTCAGTCAGGCGTGGGCTCCTAATTAGATTTTGTAGTTCATTAACCATAATAATCTTTTTTTTTAGGTTTCGTCTTGTGGTTAATGGGCATGCTGATAAACATCCATTCAGATCATATCCTGAGAAATCTCAGAAAACCGGGGGAGACTGGATACAGAATACCAACAGGTATGGCCTGGGAGTGAAGGATTTATTTTAAAATTGCATCGTGTGAAGTCTTGCTGTTTTTAACAAGTAGCAGCATAGTATTGATCAGCTGTAAGTTTTTAGCATGAGTCACTATTATTAACAGCAGCTGCCATTATTATTGTTTTAAAAGAAGAAATAACAAATGAACCAAATTCTAGCTAACTGGGTGATTATTAAACAAAGCGGAAACTTCAGTTATATGTGTTTGGAAAGAGAAACTAAGAACATACAGTTTTCGAGGCGTGTCTGACCCCTCTGTTTCTAGCAATATAATGGAATAGGTAGATATCTGGACTGACCCTCCCTCTGAAAATAATGTAAAATGCCAACTGGAATTTTTTGAAAATCTTTTAAAACGTATCAGTGTACTATCAAGAAAGGAAGTAATCTTCAGGGGACAAAATCTGAGTGGTAAAATCTGGAGAGTGTCTTATGAGAATTTGTGACTGGGAGCTGAGCCCTGTGGTGATTTACAGCCCAGATTTGTATTGCATGGATGGTCTGAAAAATCTTAAGCCATGAGTTAACTTCCACATGGCCTTTGAATGGTAGTGGACTCACCTAACCCCACCCCGAAGGGGTTTGCCTTCAAGTTGAGCCTCAAAGAACCCAGTGGGCCACACTCCACAGAAAAAGAGGCATACTCAAAAGCTGTGGACACAGGGAAGTACAGCACCATCAGTGAGGGCATAATTACATAGCATGAATAATTTGAGATCTTAAGATGAACAGAAACAGATTATAAAATGAGTACCTAAAATGCTTTTTTTATTTATTTTTTTTATTTTTTTTTTAAATTTTTTTTTGAGTTGGAGTCTCACTCTGTCGCCCAGACTGGAGTGCAGTGGCCGCTCCCGGCCACCGCAGCCTCGACCTGCTGGGCTCCGGCGATCCTTCCACCTCAGCCTTCTGAGTAGCTGGAATCACAGGCGCGTGCTACCACGCCCGGCTGATTTTTTGATTTATTGAGAGATGAGGTCTCGATGCCCAGGCGGGTCTCGAACCCACAGGCTCAGGCAATCCACTCACCTCAGCCTCCCAAAGGCGCGAGATTACAGGCTGAGCCACCAAGCCCGGCTAAAATGCTTTTTTTTAAAAAAAAAAAAAGTTGTTTCTTTTTTTCTGAGTCGGAGTCTTACTCCATCACCCAGGCTGGAGTGCAGTGACACACTCATGGCCACCCCAGCGTTGACCTGTTGGGCTCCGGTGATCCTTCTGCCTCAGCCTTCCAAGTAGCTGGAACTACAGGTGCAGGCCACCATACCCGGTTAATTTTTTTTTTTTTAATTGTAGAGATGGAGTCTTGCCAAGTTGCCCAGGCTGGTCTCAAACACACAGGCTCAGGCAATCCACTCACCTCGGCCTCCCGAAGTGCTGGGATTATAGAAAATGCTTTTTTTTTT